GTCCCGCCAGGCCACCCCCACCAAGGCACCACCTTCCTCGCGCCAATGCACCTCACCTGAAGCCATTTCGGGGGCGACTTGGCTGGTCCAACCGATGGCTGGTCCTCAACCTACTCGCCCAAGATGTGCAAGCAAAACGAAGCAAAGAAGAGATGAGAAGACACACACACAAACACACCCCAGAGCTGCCGGGATGGCTCCCGTAACCAATTAATTAGATGATCCCTGAGTTCTTAGATTCTTAGGTCCATGTTTTCATGGCAAGAAATCCCGAAATCCCACTATGGCAAGAAACCAACTGAGAGAATGAACACCTGCTGGCTGGACTGGGTGCAAACCGAGCACCGACAAACCAATCCAAGCGAAGAATATCAATGAGATTCATCACGCCAGCCAAAGGTTGAACAAAATTGAAACCAACAGCTAAAGTAAACAAATTCATATGCTAATTAAACTGTTTGTTTAAAGTTATCCTTCCTGATCTTCCTGCCAACAAGTCGCCGTCTGTCCCGATGTAGCCATAGTTCTGACACCTGAATGTTAGGACAGCTACCAACCCCGCGAGGTTGGAAAGCTCTGCATACCTTGGACCCAACATCACTTGAACAGTTGCCTGCAGGTTCAGAACATATAATATACACTCTCGAAAACTAACATAGACCCTGACAATGGCCCCCTGGAAGAGTGTTTTCCTCTACCAACCAGTGGTTTTCAGGGTCCATGTTAGTCTTCCAGGGTGTAGTTATATAGAAGCGTTGACAACAAGGACGTACATACATCGCCGGGACGTCACCATGTGAATCTATTGGGGTTCGTCAACATCGGGTGTTGGCAAAACCGATTCTTGGCAATCTCAAGGACTCTTTCTGATAAAGGCCCTGAAGAGGTGCCACTTTGTGCCTGAGGTGCATTTTGTGCCCAACTTCCAGACCTCACAACTTGCAAACCGTCCTCTTAAAAAAAGAAAAAACGTTTCTTGTTGCTTAGGGTGTGCATGCAACGATGCAACCCTCTCCCCGTCTACTCCTATTCTTCGTAACACATGTGCAGCAACTGTGGATGACCATGGTATGCGACTCCTGGGCCATGGCGGCCATGCGGAGCTCCTGGGCCGCCTGGCGGCCATGCCCCTCTTGGCTTTGCAGCGCCAAGCGACGCACATGTCATGTGAGCTTTCACTCTTGCAGTATCCATGTTTTGTCTGGCTTGGGGCAGAGTGTGCGTGCAGTTTGGCTTGCGTACAGTATGTACAGCTATGTATGTATGTAGTCCCATGTACAGTATGGGACTGTACTTAGTAGTTATATTATATATCATAAAGTATGTATATACATGTATGTATGTCTGGCCCTTTGCTCGACTTGACCCGACTCTTCGTTGTCCTACCTGATTCCGAGTCTAGTCAACCTGATACTATTTAAAGTGGGCCGGCATGGAGAAGAGTGAGTTTGGTTGCTCACTGGAATGCAGGAGGACAGAGTCAAGGAAGGCGCGCTGGAAAAAGCCGCCTACGATACCTTGCGCTGCTGGTTCTAGCATGTTTTCTATAGTCTATAGTACTTATCAGTTGGTATAGAGAGGGAAAACACCCCAAACACGGAAGAAGGTTCTTGTTCTCAAGTCGGTGCATTAACATTGACCAGCTTTTATCAAACGTGTGACAGTGTGCAGCCGTGAAAACCGTTGAAAACTCAGACCCCAAGATCCTCCTGTCGCTATTTCTATTCTCACATTCCCATCATCCACCGCCCTTTTTTCCCCCAACACTGTCGGGTGGCCACCGGTTGCTGGGCACACGCCGCACAATGGGCGCCCTTAGCCCTGGGTCTTTGGGCTTGGTTTCCCGCGTCCACGCGGTCCAATCAACGTGCCCATCGTAGGTGGCGCTGCGCATCTTCAGGAGCATGGCGTCTCCCGACGGACCCGGGGTGGGCCATCCTGAAGGCCGCCGGAACCGGTCACCCGGTGCGCGTCGGAGACCATTGGAAGCTTTAAAGCTCCAGGTGGCAAACTCGGATCGTCTCTGTACTTTTCTTGGCATCCAAATAATATTGATTACCTTACAACTTCTATGGGTGATCTAAGGAATATAGTAGTGATCAGTGTGACCCCAAACCTCACTGGCATCCCATTCTCGTGAACCAGCCTAGGTATATTGGCAGCTCCTCAGGCGCCCCACTTCTCTCCTCGGCTGCAAATGCAGGAGGTATCAGGGAAGGTTCTTCTTTTTAGCCATGTCTATGACTTATGCAGCGAACAGCTGGACAATGGATGAATATATTATTTCACTTTGAAGAACTAGGACAAGGTCTACTCAAATGATTCAATGAACCTCCCCAACATCGGATATCAAAACCCATCAAAGAAGGTCTACCTTGTTACACGACTAATACGGGAAGATGTCGACGATGGGGGGGGCATACCTTGGCATACCTATAGGGGGTGCGGACATACCGTGAAAACCATCCGATGCGACCCCATGTGTCGCCCCGTACCCCTATATACTATATACGCGCGTCGACCATGACCTGTGTCGCGTCATGACCTGTTGGAACCCATTTCGTGGTGACCACCAGCGGCAGGAAACCCTGTTTGTTCTGATCCTGGGTAGATCACCAGGAGTGTCCATTGGGCATCCCTTAAGGAAATGCAACATAGAACACATGGGGCACCCTTCGGATGGATTTGGTAAACATAAAATAGACTGTAACTCCATACCCCTTCAAGTCTAATGCACAACGATAGATTATCAGAACACATAATGTAGTAAATTTGTATTCGTATGTCCATTCTTTTTCTGGCAGCATGCTCAATCCCTTGTAAAACGATCAGGAAGAAAACGATAACCCGAAATGACTCTGGTGGAAAACCCTTGACATGTGAGAAGTGGATTGAAGAACACACGACGTGCACACACAAACACAAAACCTACTGTTCCAAATTGTCAGGGTCAATGGACTGCTGTTGTTGGGTATGTGCTGGACAGAGGTGAGAGGGCTTGGACCGCTTTAGGCCTGTGCTACAGGATTGTCCTGCAACATGAGTACTTGTCAGGGCCAATGCATGACTGCTGTTGGTGAGTACAACTTGGACAAAGGTTAGGGGTGCAATGGGGGAGTTTAGATGCTGTGGCCTTGTGCTACAGGATTGTTGTGCCAACATCTTGCACCGGGCATGAAAACGATGACAAAGCGATACTGTAAAACAAAAACGGTAACACAGCGAGCCTAATGTCTTCATGTCTGAAAGGTTCCACACACCACATGCATGCAGTGCACACACGGCCAGTCAAAGAGCTGTAAGGAAGGAAAAACGATAACGCCAAAAGTGACATGGGGAAAGGTAGAGGGTTTTACACGACCTCAAACGGTTTCTCTTTTGCATTGCTGTATAGAGAAGTATCAGGGAGGGTATGTTCTTGATATTTCTTGATGAGGTGGTTCCTAAAGCAGCCTTGGATTGAGGAAAGAAACGAGTGCGTGACGGTGAGGACGTTCTTGGAGTCAATATTGGATGCAGATGGTGTGTTTGTTTGTTTTTTCTGGAAAAATGACCAGCTCGATCAAAGAGGCACACATGGTATCACAGAAGTGTTTGATTGGATGGGTCTCATCCATTGGCTGTTGCCTCGTGCGAAGCCATTGCAGCGACCCCGGTTCTGACAAGTGTGAGGAGAAACTAGGTCTTGTGCATTTTCAACAGTCCTTTGATTATGTCACGAAAAGGTAGCTTGAGCTACCTTTCGTTCACCCCCTCCTTTCGTTCACACCCTCAAGTAAAGCAAGTAAGCCCAGGTTGGTGCATCGTCGACATCGTTTCAACAGTTCAGACCCATGGGCACCCCTAGGTTTCTTCGGGTGGTCCAAACCCACGCCACGGAATGACGCAGAATGACACGCAAGCTGCTGGCATCTCCAAGCATAATTGTACGAAAAGCCCAAAGGCACATGCAACCAAGACGCTTGTCAAAGACCAAGATGTCTAAGGGGTGCCAATGCTTTTCCGGGCCGTTCAATGGACATGAGTCGGATGCAGCTGAGGTACATTGAACATCAAAAAAACAACATGTTTAACTGTTTAACACGGCAAGTCAACGCCCATCCTCACGTCTCCGAGCATCTTTCGCCAAGCCATCCCACCATGGTGCCCTCAAGCGATGCACCGCGTGCTGCTTCACGTGGCTCCAGGATGCCATTGCGATGCGAAAACGGGTGCGCGCGTGCTCGAGCCGAAGCGGCTGACACGCCCCTTGGTGGGTGATGCACCCGGTCAAGGGAGATCCCACCTGGGACACCAAAGCACTTGGAGGGTTGTTGGCGGCGTGCCAAGGGCCTATCCATCTAGACCGTGATGCGTTAAGTTTGTGCAGGTTTTGAGTGCTTCAAGCTTGGGGCAGCGTGAATTCCTTGACATGTATTGCACACTCAATGAGATAAAATGACTAACACCCAATAAAATACAAAAATAAACAACAAAACAACCAGCCAAAAGTATCATCGTGGGGTGCATCATTGCAATGGGTGTGCTTCACTTGGATCTTCACCAACCAACCATAAAGCATCATAACATCACACACACAATTTGCTGCAAAGAGAGAGAGATCTCATCTAAAACAAGGTTAGTTTTGTGGGCCAGTCAACACGATGAACAAAGGCCACCTGGAAAGGACACGGGGCGGGAAGTGGCCGACCTCGGCCGTTTGCCTTCATCCTCCCATAGAGTGGGAGACATATCAGTTGTCACACTATAAAAATGTGATCATGGCCTTTTTGGCCTAGACCTTGGAGTGATCCAGACTCAACGGCAGTGCCAAATCCGGACTCAATGTGCTAGCAGGCTGATTGAATTCTAAATCATCCCCCCAAATTGGACCACTTCATTCATGTGCACAAAGCTCCACCTGAACCCGTCAGCTGCATCTAATTGCACCCCCTGAACCCGCCGAGCTTGAGTTGATTAAAGAAAAACACTTCAGTCGTCTAACCAGTGCAGAAAAGTGCCTTGACTTGCTGTGCTCGCGCCGCGCAAGGCAGGATCCGCCCAGCTGAGGGTCAGGAGTGCCAGGGCCACGCTTCGGCCTAAGAACGCTCCCAGGAACGGTCAAGGCACCGTGGAGGTCACGTGCTTTCCCCGCCATCCACGGACGTCTTCCATCCACCGTGGAAGACGCCCCATCCGAAAGGAACTCATGTGATGTGTTCGTCGGAGTGCTCCGGTTTGCACACAACAGCCACACCGTGGCTACGCATCGAACTGACATGAATGCAAACCTCCTGGTTTTGGACTCTGCGAAACCAAAGAGTTGGCCCCACCAAGTATAGGGCCTTCCAACATCTCAGTCTCTCTCAAAAGTCTGGAGATTTGGGGGGGCTCAAAGGCCTTGCTTAACAGAGCCAAGCAGCTCAAGCAGGACTTTGCCATTGTCGAGCGGCAACAAAATGTGTCAGTGAGAAACGCAAAACAGTTTGCAGCCAAAGATAAAAGGCTATGAGAGGATGTTGGAGTGGTAGATGTTTGTCTTTAGACATTTAACGATGTTTGCAGTTGACGGTATATTTTTTCCCTTGTATAATTGGCTAGAAATCCATGTGATGTTTTTGGAGAAGTCTTCTGCCTCAAAGTTTTGATCGTTGAACGGCCAAACCCGCCCTTGGACCCAGCGCCACGGATTTCCGAGCGATGTGGAGGTTGAGATACAATCCCAACATGGACCAATGAACATGAAAAGGGACTATGTTGGACTCTTTAAAAGGACCCTCCAATCACCTTCTTAGAGGGTATGTAGATCCCTAGGGTGTCTGTCACTGTCGGTGATGCACCACAATCCCGCCAGCCGTGCCGGAGGGCGAAATGCAGTGTACATTCACTCGTTGCTCAAATCTCCAGTGTTGGTTCCATCAATCTTGGGGCCGAAATTCAGGAGAACTCGATCTGTTGGGACATCATCTTGGATTTGCGGCTTGGTCTGGTCGGCCCAGCCTTCTCATGCCAGAAATGACAATGCCCCGTGTTTTGTGTCTCATGTGTAAATACATTGAGCATCTCTCCTTTAAGCTGCTGGATGATTCTGAGAGGCACGCCCTGTCGCTGAAACATCAACAGCATGGCCCCAAAGGAGGAAAATGATCACAGTTAGAAGAACCATATCTTGCATATTTTGAACGTTTTCATGGATGTGAATGGTATTTTTGGGACTTCCTCTGCTGAGTCCGAAGAGTGACACAGCTTCGCTCTTGTGACTCCTAAGGCTGGCTCTCCAAACGATCGAAGCAAGAGCTTGGAGGTCAAAGCAGCGTGCCAACAGGAAATGCATGGAGCGTGCCTCCATGCCAGCCGTCATTGAACCAAACGTGCTGACGCAGCGTCAGCAGCACCCAGTTTGGATGATGGTATGTATTTTTTCCCCATGTTTTGTGATCAGGGGTGTTCTATTCACCACCCCAACCTGAATAGGGGTGGGGTGGTTTACATGTTTGATCCTAAGAACTCCCCAGGCAAACCCCTCAGCCAAGGGCGGGTCCATGTAGAACTTCCACTTTCTCGACGCTCTTTCTTTTCTTTTCTGATGTGCTATTGTCTTCGGTTGGATGGCTTGATGTAGATGAATATAGATGAATAACACCTCCCAAGTCTGAAGAGGCTTTACAGTACAAGCCAACTGTGGAGGTTGCTCTTAATCAAGAGTCTAATTATATACATTGAACATCATTGAACTACCTTCTGAGGATGTGCTGGAATCCCTAGGCACGAACGATGGTCCTCCAACTCCCGCAGCATTCCGCCACCAGAAACCGCGGGAGACGTCAGATAGACGAAGCCTCCCGCTCGCGTTGGGCTTCGAGCACCACGTCAGCATCCTCCTGCTGTTTTTCCTCAGGAGCACCGAGGCGACATGTGAACGGGGAGCCGCCCTCCTCCTACTTATATTAAGTAGGCGTCTACTTGACACTCCAACCTACTAGCGATTGCCTCCAACCTACTAGCCCTCCTCCTACTTCATGAAGTACCCCGCTACCCCCAGAAAATGTCCAGAATCGAAGCCTTCGTGGAACAAAGCCACAGTCCAAGAACTACTATACCTAAGTCTGACAGTCCCACCTTTGTAGGGATCCAGTCTCCATTTTTGAGACGATTTGGACTTCCAATGGCTTGCCCTAGCTTGGGTGCCAAAGACCCTCAGAATGTTCGGGGAGGACGCCCGGAGAGTCTCAGAGCAGTCCTAAACACACACTTTCACCTCCAAAAGTGGTTCCAAAAGGGACGGCGTCAACATCTGAACATCTCTGAACAATAGAACTTCCTAATAGGAGGCAAGGTTGTGAAGAGTCCAAGTTTGCCTAAACTCACCAAGAGTCAAATCTGTATAGATGTTGCAATTGCCCTGTTGGTCGGCCAAAGCTTTTCACTTCCGCCATGAACCAGTCTGCTAGGGGATCCCTTATGGTTGGTGTCACCATCCTCCTGTCTGTTGTGCAATCTCTCCACATCGTGTCCCACATCGGGTTGCTCCACATCTGCTCTTTCATGCGCAGATCACCTTGTTTCCAAGGACCGATTCTCCAACCAACCGAGACACAAGCGATTCTGACTAAACACGTTGCGGGTTGGACTCCAACGCCCCATGCGGATGGCCCCCCCATGGGGCATGCCGGTCTTCCAACGCCTTCGCCACGCACCGGCCGCCACCCGGCCGCCCCACCCGGTCGCACCGCTGCGTTTTTCACCTGCTTCACCGGACCGGGGGCGACGCAGACGGGATCTTCCGCCGTGGAACCGCCGGTCGGGGTCGGGTTGGAATCGACCCGGTGCTTACAGCAAATATGCCCGGCATGGCTGCATACCTGGATCTTCAAACGGCACAAATTTTTGCCGGAGGCATTTTTTAGTGAAAAGACGCCGTAATCAAAAAAAAATGCCGTTTTATGGGTTGTACAAAATCCATGGACGGGGAAAGACGCCGTTTGGACGCCCAAAGACGCCGTTTGGACGCTTAAAGACGCCGTTTCTTTTTGTTTTCTGCCGGCGTGCGCCTCGTCACAACAAAAAACGCCGTCTTTGGAAAAAGACGCCGTAACGGCATTTTTTCCTGAAAAGGCAATTAGTTGTGCCGTTTCGAAGATCCAGGTATATCCCGTGACCATGTTTTATAAAATGCGATAAACAACATTAAACAACCAACCCATCATTTTTTGGAGGGGTGCAACTGACTAGTTGAGGGGCCTAGGGCTGGTGCGGTCTAAAGCCCCTTTGAGGTGCCAACATCCCCAGTCCTAAGCCGATTTCGGCCGTGGAAAACGGGGCGTGGGGTCATTTCTATACAGTGACCTATGGCATGCGTTTCATGGGGAGAGTGACCTACAGTATGGCATGCGTTTCATGCGTGAAACGCTGGCATCGGTGCCTGATGCCTTGGAGAAAAACACTTTGCCACCAAATCTTGAGCGAAATCATGTGTTCATCACCTTCATACAGTGAAATCACTGCGGTACAACCAACTGCTGAGGTATAATTTGTGCTGGATCCTCGCCACGAACTACCCATGCCATTTGGACAAACATTGACGATATCTCTCCTCAAGTGTTGAATACCACCTCGATTGGAAAACTATGGAACAATAACATGGGGACTTCCTTGATTCATGGCAAGCATGAATGGCGGTCCCAACCTGCCCAAGTTTGAATTGTGTTCCACACATCCACGAAAACGAAGCTTCACAAAAGCAGCGAGAAAAGCAGCAGAATCCTCCCAGCATACCTCTTGAGAAGATGTTGTGACTCTATTCGAGGTCTTTGCGAAGGTGACCTCTCTTGGTATGTGGATCAACCTTCTCCAAGAGGCATGTGGATCTCAGCATTGGCAAACAAGCTTTGCAAACCAACTGCTGCTTCGTGAATGAACTCCGGTGTTCAACTCCAGTGGATCTCCTCAGGGAAACAGTAAAACCAGACTCGTTGTCGACGCGCGCTCGAAGGGACTCGAGGCGTGTAACATGCACTTGACCCTCCAAATAACATGAATTGAGTGGACCATCATTCGCCGAATGAGCCCCTTTGCAAGACCACATGTTCCAAACAATCAGCTTGCTTCCCACGTCCGTCTTTGTCTTGGGGAGGCCGATGACTGTTTACCGATCAATCCCACCTGATCTGAGTCCACTGGGAAACGCGAGACGTCACGGCACCGCACCGAATCATCGGCACAGCATCGTGGCCGTCGTGGCCGGCCGTGGCTGAGCTGCTCTTGGAGCGCGAGCTGGGCGAGACCCGACGGGTTCATCGTGGTGAAACACATCTTAAGACGGTCGACCGGTCACAGCCATGGTGGCGGCCTGGGCGGCTCGTCTCCACGAGGGAAATCCTTTCGATGAGGCTTACCGATCAGCAATTGGATCACTGCCCTGTAGGACATAACTGTTTCATAACTCAAAATCTGTTTCATCATCTGTGCCATAACTGCCCTGTTTCATAATCTGCTTCATAGCGGCATTTGCTGTTGCCACTGACAGTGCACGAGGATGGTTGCTATATACAATACAAGTCAAGTGGTAGATAGTGGTAGATTGTTTGCATGTTTTCGCTGACCACTGTAATCAATACACCCAGTGCCTGCGAACACAGGAATTCACACCCATGGCCCATGGCGGCCACAAAAGACGTAGGTCGAGAAATTACACAACCATGTGCAAAACCATATCGCAGGTGGCTCTGTCAAGCCACTCGTTTCTGGCTTGGATGAAGAACACATGTTCTGACATTCAAACGTTCCTTCCGGTCTCTCACTCCTTTTGGAGATCTTCCAAGTACAAGCCCGAGAACGATTGTTTGCTCGAAGTTGCGGGGAGCCACCAGGCCACCACACCGAAGCAAAGTGAACACAACATGCTCTGTGCTCCTTTCAGGGGCGTAGGGTCAACCCCTACCCCTAGTCCAAGCATCCAAAGCGTCCAGGGTGCTGTGATGACAGTGATGACTTGCGTAGATCCCCAAAATAGATCACAGATTCCAAGACACGGGGATCTACGAACTTCTATCTATTTGGGGACCACTATGCATTAGGGTTCGAGGTCTAGGGCTAGGAAAAGCCAAACCAGCTCAATCAGAAAACCGTGCAGAGGCACGATCCCCTATAGTGCCTTTCGCACGAATGGACCAAGGTCCGAAAACCAGCTTGCAATCCATCTCTCCAACATCCGGTCGCTCCTCCCCTCGACCGGGTGACCCTGCCACAGTCACTTCAGACGTCACTTCAGTCGAGCTAGGCGAACCAACCGTGGAGCGGAGCATGCGGAGCTAGGCTTCTGAGGGGTAATGGAGGCCTGAGTCTGACGAGATCGGAGCTTGGTCGGTGGGTGAAACCAGGGGTCTTCAAGCATGAAAAGTGAGTTTAACATGGTTTAACCACCGTTCATCCATTGAATCATGCAGGGTTAACCAGAGTTCCTGTTCTTTTCTTAATTCATGTCTTGAAATTGGGCGGGGCACCAGGATCTAGCTCCCAAACTAAGCTTGAAACTTGGATCTAGCGTCTCCCGAAACCCCTTCACGCCCGACAAAAAGGGGCCCACACCGCATGCAGGGTCTGAAACAAATCATGCGCCGAAAAAAGGAGCGTTTCTTCGGAGCGGGTCCCTCTATATATTGCAAAACAGTCGTGGCTGCACCGATCATAATGCGAAAGAAACCGTGTCCCCCTCCCTCCATTTGCTACGAGTGCCAATGTCTGTGCCCGCAATTGATCAATCATGTTCCTCCACAAACTCCTCATTGTTCGGATGTTTCCTTCAAGGGTATACTATTCAGTAGAGCTTAGCACAACAAAAGAATACAAAAGACGCAATTGACTCATGGCAACAAGTCTTCGAACAAGGTGAAGGGAAACTGACCCGCCGCCAATAAATCACTCATTTTTGGCTGCATGTGGTGAACCCGTGATGATTAACATGTTGGGTGAATCACTCTGTTCTTTCAACATCCAAAATTCCCTGATAGCCTTGGCGTCCCAAAGGAGAAGAGACATCATGAACCCTCTGCATCTCATGAAATGCCGTAAGAACTTCTCAGAATGTGTACGAACTGAATGAAGTGGGCGTCACTATGCATCACTCGAGACAAGTACGTTCATGAAGCGAAAGTCCTCGAGCTTTGTGACCAACTCCTCAAGTCCAACAAAAATGCCTAAAAGGTTATATAACCTGCCTTTAAATGATACCAGCTGGTGATATCTGGTCACTGCCTTTCAGGTTAAATCATTTGAAGCTACCAGCTGCTTTTAAAGTGCCCTTTTGAGGGTTAGACGTTACCCTTTGAAGCCACTTGGAAGAACCAGGGTGGACAGTGTCCGCTTCATTTGGACAGGGTGGAACATGTAAACAGGGTAGCTCACAAGGTCCACCTGCTTGAAGAAGAAACTACCCTGTAAAGGGAGGCCACTTGCAAACAGGGTAGGCTTCATTTGGACTGTCACCTTCGGAAACCTCGACCCAAAACGCGACCGTCCTTCGGTCGGTTCCCACGCCTGGGCCAATATCGAAGGCGTCCTCCCGGTCGGTGGCGTTTCGTTTAAGGAGTCGTGGCGTTTCGTTTTGGCCCGGGTTGAGGAGTATTGTAGGAACAAGCATAGTATTTGGAGTATTCACATAGGAGTATTTAATGTATGATTGGACTAAGGTGTACATACTGGCCAGGAACGGGACCATACTGGCCAGGAACGGGACCTTGTCCTATGCCCTATGCCCTATGACACCTGTTATAACATCCAGAAAAAAAACGAAGGCGGTTCAAGTGTCTAAGCTGAGGATGAGATCGATTCTATCCGGTTTGGGCAAGCATTCTCTTGAAGGTGTAGGGTCATGCTGCTGCCAGTAAGAGTGGATGATGATGTGGATGATGATGATGATGATGATGATGATGATGATGATGATGATGATGATGATGATGATGATGATGATGATGATGATGATGATGATG